TTCATTTCATGTTTATTGCAACTAAGAGTATTACCACAAAATGTGGAATAAACAGCCTTATAGCTATATGCATTTAGCAAATATTGCAGGTGGGCCTCAGGACTTAAGTCGCTTGACTAGGTAGCACTCGCATATCGAACATTATAAAAAGGCTTAAACACAACTTAATGACAGCATAGGACTTTATGAGACTTCTCTAAGAGAGTTAAAGTTTTCCTACCAAAGAATATGTTGTGGTTTGGCCATGGATAAAAATATTCGTTACTGTTAGTTCACAGATTTTAATGCAGAAAGAAGCACTGACTAGGAAAAATTACTTTAATTGCAAATATCTGCCTGAGATATTTTGCACCATGAAAGTTTGCAAATCCAGCTTCTAGTACAGGAAAACAAAACTATTATTCTTCCTGCAGAAAAGAATGTCAGTGTACTTTAACACAGGTTTTCCTGCCACATGCCAAGTGCAGTTCTTGTAAACAGAACTGTGTCATTGCAAGAATTCTGCATGTAGTGAATCAAGCAGAAGTAAAGTAAGATCATAATCCAAACCACCAATGCCTATAAAAGAACTAAAAAAAGTGTGACTTTGGCCATGTAAAAGAGAAAAGACTTCAATGAAAAATAGTTTGGAACATGGAAAACTCTCGTTTTGCAAGGGAGCTACATATAAATTGGCATATAAATCATTGCATTATACATAGTACCATAAATTCTCTTAATGTGCTTACCAGCAACAACATATCCCTAAAGTCACTAATGACTAATTGTAGGTAGGGAGTGTTTGAAAAACTTGCTGAGACAGGGTCACTCGATAGCAATTGTAAAACACCATATCATAAACTGTGTGTCATGCTGTTACATTCTTCCACCAGTAGAACCTGACTTAATACCATAAATAAAATTTTTAAGGAGAAAAAACTTCATTTCAATTCAACTAATAATGTCACTGAGTTTATCTTTCTGAAGCTAAGAAGAGCACATGTTACACAGTGAACTTAAATATGTATAGAGATATAAGATTTACTCTGGGACATTCTGAACTGATTATCAGTTTAACACTTTATTTTTATGAGTGTCTGTACCTCTGTGTGTGTGTGTGTGTGAGTACACTGCTGAGAAAGTATGGTGACCTTGTCACTTGGTCCCAAAATAAACTGTAATAAGTTGCAGTGCTAGGCACAACGGTCTTGGTCTTCAGCTAGAGTCATTCGAGACAGAGAATATGTGGGGTTACATATAAAACAGCCTCAGGATTGGACCCTTTCTTAAAGGTCCTTTGTGCTGATAAAATCTGTACTAAGGTTATGATGTTACTGTAGGGGAAAAAAAAAAAAAAAGAATCACAGAAGTCTGAAAGTGAGTTAGAAAATCTTAGTGGAAAAGAGTGGTTTTTCACTTATTCAATTAAGTACCTATATAAGCACATATTGTTCTGTTCACTTCAGACTGTAAACAAAAGCAGGCTAGTTCTGAACTATTAGGACTGAAATAACCATTTGCCTTTCTTGACAAAAGAATGGAAGTAATATTTTGCAACCTCTGACTCCTCTGAGATATTTTATAAGGGTTTTTCTACACCAGTCAAAACTCAGCACTCTTACTGTGCATACAAAACTGCCTAAATATTTCTTGCAGTCACTTATGAGTCACTTGCAGATTCACTTATGAGAAATCATTAGCAATATGTGTAAAACATTTAAAACCTAGCTTCTCCACTTCTGAGGTAACAGTACAGGTTATATAACTTAGCACAAAAGATTTTTCATAAAAGAAGGAGAAAACAAGGAACTTTAAATACAAAACAGCCCATATTTAAAGATCCATCAAAGCTGTGTCAGAAGTGACAAAAGACAGGAAAACAGAATGACAATGACATTCTGATCTTAATTCACATAATTTAAAAGTGGCAAGTTATAGCACACTTCCTCTTAAACTTCTGAGTCTCATGGATCTTGACAGAATGCTGCAAAACAGTACAAAAATATACATTGATTAGTTACATAAAGAGTTAAGTATATAGATATATATGTTTTGCCAAAGCTTTGCAAACCAAGCTCTGCCTTACTTTTAGCTACACAAATTCACTTAAGACCAATGGACAAGCAAGACCAAACACTGGTGAAGCTTCAATGAACATTGCTGGTACACTGCCCGGCGTAAGATGGCCAGAGATTGTTTTGACCAAAAAGCTGTATCCTTTTGCCTTTAAGTTTGGGGATCTGTACCTAATGCTAGACTCATGCAGGGCAACAGGGAACAATTAATCCTGCTGTTACTTTCAGAATTCAGATATACAATCTATTTTATAACTGGACTTATCCTTCTCCACTTTGTGGGTTTGATAGTGATATCCACTGTGAACACCCATCAGTTTTCCAAAGATGCTTGCAACTCTGCAGAGTGAATTGTTCTGTTCTGCTCCTGCACAGCTTTCACACTCTCAGTGACAGCCACTTAATCATTTCTAGATTTGGCAGCCATACTTCTCAGTGTCAAGACTTGGTCCAGGCATATGGTGATTGTCCTCTATTTCAGAGGAGTTGGAAGTGCTCCTCTGTCTAGTGAGCAGTGCTCATGAATGATTTTTTAAAATAATTTTTAGTGCTGGAAGAGTTAGACATGTGAGAAGCAGCATTTTCATAATTAGGCATGTGTTCTACCATGAAATCTTTAAACAATATTTAGAGGTCTAAATCCCTATGGAAATCTGATTATGACCTTGGTAAATATAAAAATCACAGCAGAAATTACATGTGCAAGTAGGCTGGAGGCTGAGTACTGCAATATATAACATGTAGATATTTTTGATGGTACAAAACCAGAAGGTGACAGGGATGGACATATTTTGGCCCATTTTGCACTTGCCATTTTTGGCAAAATCTTTTTTTTAAAGGATTAAGAATCTGTTGTGACAAACTACTCCAGATGCTAGTGATCATAGCACTCACCATAGAGGAGTAGATTTTGGTTACAAACTCCAGAAAAAAGGTGGAATTTCTACTGTGTGCCTCTTGCAGCTGAGTCTTAGGCAGTAGCAGAAGATGGATGCCACTGTCATCATCATCACCACCACCACAACTATTCCACTGGATCAGACCTTGAAGGTCACTTTACAAGGCAAAATCTCAGTGGTAAAACTTTGGTGGCATGTCCTATCCAGGCCTCAAGGTGCTCAGTAGCTGCAGGCCTTAGCCAGAGATCTGTAGGCAGTAAAGAGAATTTACAACCAAACCTGTAAGCATACATAACTTAAGCTACCATCATTAGGGTATTAATTGCTGAGTGTATGTTTTGAGATTATAGATTTGGTATACAGGCATCAAAAATTACATGACTAAACCACATCTATTTTGCATGCAGGTTTAAACTGCAACTCATCAGGAATACAAACTGCTTGAAGGCAAATCTAAGCATGACAGACACAAGAGAAGAAGAAAAAAACAATATATGAACCTATCCCTCATGTATGCGTCACTGCACAGCATTGTCTACAGCAGGGCTCTGTAGAAAAATTGTTGTGGGGTCTTTTTAGGACACAGCACTACTACGTGCAAAATCGTTATTTTTTTTTCCAGGAGAGCGTGTGTGGAATCAGGTGTTCACGTTCCAGCTCTTCACTGACAGCCCTACAGAGAAAGCATGCGACACTCAGGCCTGGGAAAACACTTTCTGACGCCTGCTCCCCAGCCTGCAAAACGCAGCAGCCGCGGCTGCTGCAGCGAGACGAAGCCGTAGTTCCTGTCCTTTCCTGCGCACAGGTCGCTTCCAGGTCCAGGTGTGCTCACTGTACGCTCCAAAACGCGCAGTGCGCACAGGGCGCAGCCGCCCTGTGAAGCCGGGACGAAGCGCCCCGTCGAACACCAACGTGGCACTACAATGGAGCATTTAACCACCGGGTCTTGAAGCGTTCTTCTTGCGAGTGGAGAACGCCCTGGCCCTGTCACCGCTTCCTCGAGTAAAGGCGGAGCTCCTTAGCTCCCTTCAGTAAAGCTGGGAAAAAAAAAAAAAAAAAAAAAAAAAAAAAAAAAAAAAAAAAAAAAAAAAAAAAAAGGCACCAACAAAACTTAAATCACGTCTCATTCGGCGACTGTAAGCAGGGCACCGCTCCGCGTGCCCAGCGGCACGGGGAACTGAGGGAGCGGTCGGGCGGCCGGGGCTGTCCCGGGCGCTGGGAAAGGCCCCCGGCCCGGCCCGGCCCGCCGGGTCGAAAGCAAGCGGGAGCGCTGCGCTCTCACAGCGGGCAGCGCCAGGGCAATTCCCCCGCCCGTCCCCGAGTGCAGCGGCGACGCCGCACCCGCCTTTTTAAGGCGGATTTGCCCCTCATTAGCGCCCGTCCCCGGCAGTGCCCGCGGGCGGGGCGCGAGGCGGAGCCCCCTGCCGCCCCCCGTTCCCGCCGCGCCACCGCTCCGCGCGGAGGAGGAGGAGGGGGAGGAGGTGGCGGGAACGGCGGCGGCGGCGGCGACAGCCGACACCGGCCCCACGTTACTTTGATTGACAGCTGAACAAATGTTTCCCCTGTTCGAACGCCGGCGCCGCGGAACGCCGGCGATCTGCGGGCCCCGCCTCGGGCGGCGGGCGAGCGGGGGCGGAGAGGCGGCGAGAAGCCTTCTGATTGGTTGCAGGCCCGCGGCGCGTCGAGACCCCACGTGGGGGAGAGTCCAGGGCCGCCCCTCTGCCCGGGCCCGTGCGCCCATTTGTCAGCGGCGAAGTGATGGGCATTAGTGCCGAGCGGCGATTAATGGAAGCCCGCCGCCCATTGGTCGCCGCCACCGCCCTTCATGGGCGGGGTGCGGGGGGAGAGGCTGACAGCGTCGCGGTGCTTGATGGGAGAAGTAGTCCCCAGAGCGGCTGCGTACGGGCAGTCTTGCCGTCGGCAGGACTGCAATTCCCAGGGTGCCCCGCGGCGGCGGCCTTCCGGCTGCTGTGAATATGTATCAGAATGTTAATGACGAGCCGCTGCTAAATTTGGTCAAAGGAGTCACTTCGGCAGAGCGTGCTGTGGGAGCGGCGCGGAGCGGCCATCGGGCTGGACCGGGCTGGGCAGGACACGGCTGGGCTGGGCCGGACCACGCTGCGCTGACGAGCCGAGTACGGGGCTCCGCTCCGCGCGTCCCCGCCGCCACCACCGCCACTTCCCGGAGTTTCGAAAGGCGCGGAGGGAAAAAGAGAAAAAAAAAAAAAGACATAAATAAAGCTGCCCAGACCGTACCGTATTTTTAAATATTTCTTGCTCTCTAAATTTTTTTTTCAATTAAAAAAAAATAGGTGGTCGAGCAGCAGTAGCGGGGGAGATGCGGTGCGGGCGGTAGCAGCGAAGACCGGACCGCCGCACAAAAGGGCACCGCACCGCACCGCACGCACCCCCGCCGCGGCAGCAGAGCAGCCGCCCGACCGCCGCAGCCACCGTTCCCGCCGCGGCTCCGCGGCCCGCTCCGCCCGGCGCCTGGAGAGCCGCCGGCAGCAGCAGTAAAAGTTTTCAGGAAGGGAGGAAAACTGCCGGCGGGGGGAATCTCCGGTGGAGCGCGCGCCGGCGCCGGCGGAGGGGCTTTCCCCGCCCTCCTCCACCTCGCCCTCCGCCGCACGGGGCTCGCAGCCCGCCTGAGCCCGTGGAGCGGCGGCGGCGCTCGGGAGAACCGGCCGGCGTCGCCCGCTGACCGCCCCCGGGGGATGTGGCAGCTGCCCCCGAGCGTCGCGGACGCCGCCGCCGTCGCGCCTCGCTGCTGCCGGCGGTGCCCCGCCAGCCCCGGGGCGGCGGGGCCGGGGCGTCCCTGCCCGCCGTCTCCGCCGCCGCGCCTGCAGCCCTGATCCCCGCCGCTCCGGCCGCCAGCGCCCCCCGAAGCGGCGTGGATGATCCGCGACCTGAGCAAGATGTACCCGCAGACCCGGCACCCGGTGAGTGGCGGCGGCGGCCCCGCGGGCAGCGCTCAGGCGCGGGCACCGCGGAGTTGTAGCCATTTTCTTATTGTTGTCCGCCGCGCCGCCGCCGCCTCCCGGGGTCGGGGTTGCCTTGTTTGAGTTGCCCTCGCCCGGTGCGCGGCGGTCCCGGCGCCAGCCCCGCGTCCCACGGCCGCCGCCGGTGCGGAGGGTCCGAACGGGTGACACCTCTTCCAGCGGCGGTCCCGCACCGCCGGCGGACACGTCGGGGCAGCAGCTCGGGGCGCTTGGGGCATCGCGCCTCCGCCCGCGGACGAGCGGGGACCTGGGGGGCTGCGCCTCGGCGGAGCCCCGGTGCGAGGGCCGCGGCGGTGGACGGCGGCGGGCGGGAGGTGGTGACCGGATGAAGAGGGGGCGATTAAAAGACCTGATGTTCCTTGCTTGCAGGCTCCTCACCAGCCAGCTCAGCCCTTTAAATTCACCATTTCAGAATCCTGCGATCGGATTAAGGAGGAGTTTCAGTTTTTGCAGGCTCAGTACCACAGGTAAGACTGCCTACTTTGTCCGAGCCCCGCGCGGTCTTTCCTCTCGCCGTTTCCAGTGCCGCGCCCGGAGAGGCGGCGGGGAGGGAGCGCGGGCCCGGGACCCCTGGCGGAACCGGGAGCGGGGCGCGCCTCCCCGGCTCCTCCACATCCCGCTCCGCTCCCGACCTGGGAACGAGGAGCTCCTGTGGGCCCCGAGCCGAGCGGTGCGAGCGGATTTTCTTGTTTTCTCCGCGATCCGTTTTTGTTAATTTTTTTTTTCTTTTCTTTTGTTTCTTTTGGTCTTTTTGTTTACTTTTGGGTGCGGAGTGGGGGAGGGCGGGTGTTGATAGAAAAATATGTGTCTGGTTGGGCTCGTTCTCTGCTTTTCTTCGAAATGCCGTTCAGGACAGGCATCTTGTCTTGTCTCGGCCCCCTCGCGCCTTTCATTGACATGTCAAGTGCTGATAACCTGGAAGTGAGGCGGCGAGCTGTTTCATTATCCTTAGGTGGAGCAGCGCAGTGTCCTCAGAGTGACAAGTGACTTCTGGCAGGATTGTTTAGCGGGCTTCTGAAAACAAAATAAACACTGGGAGAGTTAGTATTTACCACGGTATTCTTTAAATTACATGCAGTATTCTGAATACTTGCAGTTCTGTCATCAGTAATAGAAAAGAGTAAAATTCAAATCCACAGGTTTTTCTTCTTGAAGAGGTAATGTGCATTTGATTCTTCTGTGCGTCGAGTAAAAGAAAGAAGTGTGTCTAAAATACCTAAATAAAAACTCTGAAACCCAAAATACGTTTTTTTTGGTAGCTTCTCAACTTTAGCTCTTTAAAGATATGAACCCCTGTGTGCTTCTTTTATGAACCAGTGAGTGTGTTTAGTTTTTTTGTCAGAAAAAATAATTTTCTGTGTATGCCACATGTATGTCTGCAGTCCTTTTAGGAGATGAGGATGTTGCATAGTATCCCTTGAAACTGGAAAAGTGCAAACCCCCATCCTGAACTCCCAAGCAAGAGCTGGAGTACGCACTTATATTTGGGTACTGAAGAAAAGGGGAGAAACCGGTGCTCAAGAGAATGTCACTTTAGTCTTATGAAGTACCCATGCTTTATCCTTTTTGTCTCTTGAACAGTTTAAAGCTAGAATGTGAAAAACTGGCCAGTGAGAAGACAGAGATGCAGCGACATTATGTCATGGTAAGCAAGCTGCATAACAAATTCAAAATGTCTATTAGCCTGGTATGCTGAGACTGACATACATTCGGATTGCTGGAGGCAAACAGGAAGATTGTAGTAGAGCTGCTGTTGTTGAAGTTGCATCCGTGCTTCCATTATAAATCAGTAGTTTCTGGGGTCTTTTAACTTCTTTGCAGTGATCCGTATCTGTGTGAAACTGGCTTTTTAACCTTTCAAGCAATTGAGAATATTTCTTCCAAATGCTAGCACATCACTTGTCAGCCCTTTCAAGCTGTGTGCAACTTCCATAGTGTACCTGAGGATGATGTTTTCACTTTTGCTGACTTTTCTCAGTGGTCATATCTCTGTAAAATAGTTCTGGATAGTATTTTTTTTCTGTGATGGCAGTAACACAAAATTGTACCTAAGCACATGCAAATCCAAAGTCTACTTCCTGGAAGAACTGTTGCTCTTCGGCTGCTGAATCATTGTTTCATTAAATTGAGAATGTCAGGGATCTCAGCTGTGAAAAGGATTTCCTCAGTTGTTGTGGTCTGCCTGGTTAAATAATGTGCATAGAAAGACATCTCTAAATAGGTAATTGTGTGATGGATCATGATAACTCTAGAGAGGAGCTCTTGCTATCTCTCCTCTTGTACATCTCTGAAGGATTAGCCGTTTTTCATATGCACATGACAAGTAATACTCTTGTATACACAGAAAGAGTAAATAACCTTGAAAAAATCTTAAGGGAGAGCACAAGCAAATTGTAAGGCTCACAGTTGTCATTTTAATGCCTGATATGCCTAAGTCTTGGAGATTGTTTGGTATTAACATTGCACACTGAACAGAGTTCCCTGCAGTACTGGGGCACAGCAGGATGTACTTAGATTGGTGTGTCTGCTCTGGCCCTGAATGTCCATGCTTTTTCTTTTAATGCCTGCAATTTGATGACAGGAATTTTTTTGTGTTCTTTTTTAAATTTAAAATATTGAATCTGTCTGTTAGACGTTGCTGATTTATATGTTTATATGCTTGAAGCACTTTGGGTGGTTTTTTTTAGAATGTTTTATGTATGCTAGTGGATAGAATCTTCATCATTTTCTGCTTCTAATCCTTAACTCTGCTTGTGATTATTTTTCATTATTTTTTTGTTGTCTGTCTTTGCCTTGTTCTACAGCTGTTCTTTGTAAATGTGACATGAAACAATGTAGATTAAACCAAAAAAAAAGTTTATTCTGAAATGCGCTCTTTGCAATTCCAGGAACTCTTCAAAGCAAATTAACATGTGTAGGTCTGTATGTCTTTGTACAGATGATGTTTCAGTCAAAGTGAATTCCAAAACAGTTTTCACAATTGCAACGTCTAATAGTGTAATTTTCTTTTATCTTAGTATTACGAGATGTCCTATGGGCTGAATATAGAGATGCATAAGCAGGTAGGTAAAGAATTACTTTTGTTGTAAAAATGGTCTCTATAATTTCTCCCATCAATCTTAAAACACACGTATTCTATATGACTTGCCTTAATTGCATGCTTGGGTGCATCAGAAATTCTTTTTCTTCACCTGACCCTGAATCTTCTGTCTCATGTTTGGTACGCAGACTCTTTGTAGGTTATGGTCGTATCTGCCAATTGTGCATTATTTGCTTGACTTTCCACATGCAATTTTTGCACATGCAGGCATTCCTGTTCTTCACAGGCAGGGTGTCTGTGAGTATGGATGGGTTTATGGGCTGTATTGTCTTTTCTCTCTGGTCTCAAACCTTTGGGGTTTATTTTTTGGGATATGTGTATTAGGAAGGTGTGTAGAAAAAAATTGATTTTTTGGTTAACCTTGGCTGATTTAAGCTGGAGCTACAAATGCTGTTGATGTTACAGCCATGTTGAGATTTCCCCTCAGGCTGCTTACTTGGACTTCTGTCCAGAACCAATGTGTTAGCATCTCAAACACAAAGGAGTAAATGAGCTTTCAGTGAGGGTGCAAGCATAGAATCATGAAATGCTTTGGGCTGGAGGGGGCCTTAAATGTCATCTGATTCCACCCCACCCTGTCATGGGCAGGGAACCTTCCACTAGATCGAGTGACTCAAAGCCCTATCCAGCCTGGCCTTGAAAATTGTCAGGGATGGGGCATCGTCATCCTGCCTGTTCCAGTGCCTGACCATCTTCACAGTAAAGAATTTTTTATAATATCTAAACTAAACCTGCCATGTTTTCAGTTTAAGGTCGTTTCCCTTTGTCCAATCACTACATGCTCTTGTTGAAGGCCCTTTACAGCTATCTAGATACTGGAGAACTGCTATCGGTTCTGTGCCTTGAACTCTAGCACTTAGGCTGAGATTAGCAAGAGATTAGTCAGCTAGAGCATGCTAGTGTAAATTAGAGTTTCTTATTTGATAGTGTGTGGTTTTTAACCTTCTCTAGAGGAGAATGAATTGAACATCTGACCTCTTTTCCAGTGAGGGAACTTTTTATGTGGTGGAGTTTAATACTGACAACTTGTTTTATCAAATGGTTGAGCAATTCGCCAGTGCTTCTGGGGAGTGTAAACAGCAGAAATAAAGAAATGATTGGATTGGGAGAAGGATTGCCTGAAAATTTGTTTGTATGTTCTTCTCTTCAAAGTTAGGGATTTGGAATTTCTCTGGGTTTGGAAATAGGATTTCTTGATCTTGTTAGACAAGATATAGAACAGATATATGGCAGACATAGAACTCAAAATTTTTTTCGTGTTATTTAACATATTTTGTATTCCATTAGCATGTCAATGCTACCAGAACTGATTCGGGCATACGTACAGAGACACTGGGATTTCCCTCCTCAAAGCATTTTGCATCTACAGCTCCAAACTTATGCAATCTTGTACATACAAGTTGTTTTACAGACATACATAGATCTTTTGAATTCTTTGAATTTGGTCCTTCTCACAGGTAGCATTAAGACTCAATAAATGGCTGACAGGAAAAGGCAGTGATTGCAGCAGATCAGATTGTATGCACATGCCCTCTCTCTGGACCTGATCCTTGTTGCATGTGCTGGTGGAAAGATTGGTCACTGAATCTAAGAGGTGTTGGGTCTGTTCTCAGATGAATATCCAGATTGTTTCAGGTCCCATTAGAGTAAAACAAACAACAAAACAAAACAAAACAAATCCTCAATCAGTAAAGCTGTAGATATGGAAACAATTCACAAAGACCAGAGTCTTTACAGGCCACCTACGTAGCAAATTCTTACAGGCATTTGAAAGCAAGCATTGCAGTCAAACTTGTTTATATTTCTAGATACCCCATTTTTACAGCGGTGCTTTATACTTACACCGACAGCACAAAATTCTTTGCAACAGTATCAGCTTGCAAGTGCAATGTGTGATGGAATTGTATTAAGCAAGTGGAAAAAACCCACAGCAAAAGACTTTTGTCTTTTAATTTCTAAATGCTTTACTTCAGAAATTTTATACATTTATGGTGATGGAATCGTCAGTGATACTCTGCAGAAATTAAATACTTAGTGACAACTAAGTGTGGGGATTACAAAGGACTGGCTTTTAATTGAACACCTTTTTCCATCACCATTCATTTTATTCAAGTTTTAAGTATTGTACTCTCATGCAAAACACTGAAATATTTTGTCAGACGATGAATCAAATTAGTTGCGGCTAAGAAATTTGTTCACTCACGTTCTTAAATCTGATATCAATTTCCTGTCTTTCATATCTCCCTTTCTATTGACACAGTGTTGTATTTTTCCTTTTTCCTCTTGCCTCAGCAAATGCAAAATGCTACCATTTTCCATTATGCTCATGGTATTATGGTCCAGTTAGGTATTTGTATAGATGGCATTGATTGCTTCATTCGATGTGTGTGAAGATTTTTTAGTTTACCACCATAAATTCCCTCCTCTCCCATCTTTGAATTTCACTCTGCTGAAATTGAGTGATTCACCCTTTTTTATTTTCCTTCTCCCTTGCCCCCCCCAGCTTTCTAAATTCAATCATATAAAAAATCCTGAGGGCAGTTTATCACATTATGAAATACAGACAGCCCTGCAAACCACCTACTTATTATATTTTCTTTCTTTTTTTCACTTTAGCACAGAGGCATATCTGTCTTTATTTGTTTTTCTGGGCAGACAGCCTTGGTTCCTCTCAGGTTCTTTTCCAGATGTACTCAATGGATGCCCTTGTAATGGAAAGCAGGCAATAATGCGGTGAAGTTGCCCTTCGGCGTAATTGGGCCTAGTTCTCAAGATCAGGTTAGGCTTATTCACTTATTAGATTTGCGTCTCAAAGGGTTCAAGAGCAGGACTCCCTGGAGTCCTTGGAAGTACCCTAGTAATTGGTGGCCCTGATATTTGAAACCTTTGTGTATTTTTCTGTTAAAGCTTCTGTTCTTCTTGGCTGCTTCCAGCCACAGAGTATTTATTTTTAGAGAAATTTTTCACTGGAACAGAAAATGATGTGTGATAGAGTCATGACTCTGTGCCTTAGCAAATTGATAAAAGGATAAATGTGCAGAAAGCAGCAGTAGTGAGTGTGCCTGTGTGGCTGGGGGCAGAGAGGGGGAAGAGCATCTCTTCTCTTACCCCTTGTGTGATGCTCATCATCAGTCATCCTGTGTTGATTTTGATAGAAGACTATTAAAGTGAAACCTATGGGGAATTTGTCATTCTGAAAGGAAAGCTAATGTAATTAGTACCAATTAAAGTACATTTAGTAAATTGGATTTAATCTTAATTAAGCCTGCATAATGTTGCCAATTTTTAACAATTATGTTTGAGAACATAATTAATTTAAATTTTGGTAACTGAGTAAATAGCATTAGACTGGTAGAATTAGGCATTTGTAATTTTTTAAAAGACAAATGTAGGGTATGTTGTCACATGTGATGTTATAGCCTAATACACTAAGCTGATTTTTGACACT